CAGGCCCGGCCCGGCTTTTTTAAAAAAATTTTTAGGCCCGACTCGGCTTTTTTTAAATAAAATTTTCAGGCCCGGCTTGGGTTTTTTTTTAAAAAATTCGGGCCCGGCCCGGGTATATTTAAAAATATTAAACTACAGTCCAGCCCGGGGGCCGGGCCTGCAGGTCTCTGAAAAACATACCAAGAAGTACAACATCTTAAAGTAGATTGAAAGGTTTGGATCTTTTGAGTATTCATAGGCATTTGACGACATGCAAGGATGAGATAATTGAAAAATTAGCTCAATCACAACGAAGATTGGATTTTACATTGTAAATATATAACATATAAAATGCAATTATTCCTAAGAAACTTTTTGTGTAAAGGCTCAAAATATTCAAATTTCTATTTTGGGTCATGTAAGTGATTCTTTACATATAATTTTTTTATAATTCACATAAATTTAAAATTGTGTATTAGAAATAGTTATTTGTCCTAATAAATTTATGCTTGATATTTTTAAAAAACAATAATATTTCTTAAAAAATTTTATTACCCCCCCCCCCCCCCCAGACCAAATTCCTGCGTACGCGCCTGGACCCAACCAAGAATGTAATTCATCCTTATTCTTAGGTTCGATCATTGTACTTATAGGATCAATTTTTTCTTTGATAGGCGGTATGCCTTTGTCACTTATTAAATAACATAAATATTTTATACTCTCTTTGTAAAACTCACTTTTTTTTATATTTCCAATCAGCCCAAATTCCAACATTCTTTCAAACACTCTTTTCAATTTATAAAAATGGTCTAACTTATCCTTACCAAAAATTAACAAATCATCTAAATAATAAATGACCCCCTTAATATCAGCAAATATTTCGTCCATAGTCTTCTGGAAATAAGCAGTTGATACTGTAAGCCCAAAAGATAGTCTATTAAATTGAAAAAGACCCTTGTGGGTGGAGACGGTCAGAAATCTGGAAGTTTCTTTAGATACAGGAATCTGCAGATACACCGATGAGAAATCTATTTTTGAAAAAAACTTTCCATTACCTACTTTAGCAATTATGTCATTAATCCTTGGAAGCTGGTATTCGAACCTTTCTAATTGTGGGTTTACAGTAACTCTAAAGTCAGCACAAACTCTCAACGTATTATCTTTTTTTTTAACTAACACTAATGGAGTGGCCCATTGTGAAAATCTGACAGGTTTAATTACTCCCTGCTGGCGCCATTGCTCTATAGTGTTTTCTAATTCTTCTTCTAACTCGAAGGGCACTCTCCTGGCCTTCACAAATTTTGGCTTAAAGTCATTTTTTAATAAAATGTCTATTTCCAAATTTTTGACAATTCCAATTCTATCATTAAAAACACAATCAAATTTCTTAATTAGTTTGTTGATGTCACAACTCTCTTCAAAATACCCTTTTTTAATAAATAACGATTGAATGACATATTCTTTTTTATAAAATTTATCAGTATCTTTGAAAGGATTGTTATAAGTTAAAAAATTTACCCTATCTCCTATCTCATTCTTATTAATGATGTTTACATCAACGTTGAATTTGATTATGTCAAATTCTTTAATCCAGTCTTGACCACATAGCGGTGGTCCCTCCCCATCCAATACATAAAATTTAAATATTTAATTGTATTCAAATATTTAACCTTAATATTCAAGACCCCAACGACTGTGATAGGAGAACCCTCATAAGAGAATAATTTTTAAGAACAATTTTCCAACTCAAATTCTTCATAATTCTCCAATTTTTCAAAATCTTTAATGGGCAAGGATGTCACCGGAGAACCCGTATCTATCAAAAAAGAAAAATTTAGATTATTAAGTTGCATATTAATCATAAAATCATTAATAAAATTTATCTTGTTCCTTGGCCTCAAATTATATGGCGTTTGTATCATTTCTTGTTTTTTGAAATTGTTGTTGTTGTTATTGTTGTAGTTGTTGTTGGTGATGACCTTAATATCCTGCTTGTTCTCTTTCCAAGACGAATAGCCTTGCCAATCGGCTCTATCCTCTTTTCTCCAAGAATCTTTCTTTACATATGTTTTATTAATATTAATCTCCAACGATTGAAATTTGACAACAATGTCCTCTATAATATTAAGCTCTGTAGTATTTTCTTCTATCAACCTTGTTTTTAGCTTTTCATTACGACAATTCAACATAAATTGCACCAACAAAAATTCAGGATTGAGCCCCGAACCATACCCTTTCAGTCTATCGAGATACTCTCTGGAAGACTCAAGTCTGTCCTGTTTTGTATTGAATAATTCAAATATGCGCGTAATCTTGTTTTTTCAACCTTTTTTTATATTAAATCTTTCATCTGTTGATACGATAAGTTATCTATGTTGTCCATAATACTAACAGCCATATCTTTGTCAATTGTTTCGAACAGTTTGTATTTCTTAGTTGCCTCATCAACAATATTTTTGGCTAAAAATTTCAGATCCAATGTTTTTAATAGAACTTTGATTTTGATATGCCCCTATCCTCCACCATATTGAACAAGAATAAATTGTGTGTGATTGTATTGCATAATTAAGGAGGAATATTGAACAAGAATAAATACTATAGAATAAATTGTGTGTGATTGTATTGCATAATTAATGAGGAATGATAAGATAGTCTTTATTGATTATATTTAATAATATGGTTATACAAAAGAAAACAAGTGGTCTTTTTATTTAATCATATGGTTATACAAAAGAAAAACAAGTGGTCTTTTTATTTAATAATATGGTTATACAAAAGAAAACAAGTGGTGTTAGAAAATGAAAATATATATCAATATATATATGTTTAATTGCCTTGAGATGTATTTATATACATGTTAATTTCATTGAATAAAAAGATAATATATGAACATATTTAAATATACAATTACAACAAGTTGAATAAGCGAAATATTAAAGAAGTATTTAAATAAACAATGAATTACAACAAATTAAGCGAACATGCAACAAACTATATATTATATAACTGTTAAATACGTCTGTAAAAGTGGCATTTTACCTAATATTTTATAACCTATTATATATAATAGGGTATTATTAACTATATGTCTACTTTTTTACGCGTCACTAGCCTTTACAATCTCAGGGGGGGCTCAACTTAAAATATTATGAGAGGGGAAGAATTTGTCCCATACGCCCTAATTTGAGGACCTTCGGCCGGGTTTTATATTAATATATAATACTTTTTTAAAATTAGCTAACTCTGAATAATTATTCTGAATTTCATATTTTGTCATTTATTATATTATTCATATAAAATAAACTAGCATATAAATAATTAAAACAATAAAAGACATTTCTGAAAATATTTTTTAATACAAAATCTATTTCTTACAGCATAAAATAATTTCGTTTGCTGATATAAAAATTTTGCGCCTAAAGAATTACAAGTTATAAAAAAGATTAATTAATTCATACATATACCTCATGGTTTTTAAAAACATAATATAATATAATTCTTAGCAACTTACATTGACAAAAGGTCATGAAACTAATATAACTCTCTGTTACCATTTTAGCAAGGTTTTATAGAATGGACTAATAAGGAAAAATTTATAGGCCTAACCAAATCAACAATTCTTGATGAAGAGATTATAAACGACCAATCCAAATCATAAAACTATATTGTGGTTAGAGCTTCCTCTTAGATGATATGATGGAAACTAGTTTAGCAATCGAAAAAATTATTGGGAGATACTAAATTTCTAAAATCCATTTTTAATAATATATAAACGACTACACAGTTGACCATTATTGTTTATCTAAAATATGTAATCATATGCTCTCAACAACTGTAGCAATAATCTTATCTTAAATTGCCACACAAATAATAGTTGATGGTTAATTTGCAGTCATAGCCATGAGCATGACACTCACGATGTTAACTCATATCAGATTTTATTATGTAAGATAAATTGATAAAACAAAGACATAAAAATCTTTAGAAGAAATTATGAAAATATATTGAAGCATTAAGTTATTTGCATGGCAAGGATGGTTAGAAATGAAACATTTTAACCAGATTAATATTATGAAAGCAATTAAGATTTTATATTATATTATTGTCGCACCACCTAGAGTTTCTATATTATATCTATAAATAATAGTAGTTTGTAATAATATCAAAAATATACTCGAATTAAAAATTTAACTCGAAACTGTTTTTCAAATAAGAAATAAATAGCTTTCCTAAAAACATGTAAAAAAAAGAGAAGAAATGATATCTAATTTATTATATCCATTGTGGGAAATAAGATGTTTAATTTTTAATAATATTTATAAATAAATAGATGGCGTTAAAAAATTGAATGCAAATAGTTACTTATATTTATTATCAAAATCATTTATTAATAAAATTTATTAAAATATTAACTTTAATATATTATATAACATTCAAATACGTCTGTAAATGTGGCACTTTACCTAATATTTTATAACCAATTATATATAATAGAGGATTATAAACTATATGTTTATTTATACTCTTGTACTTATTTGGACCTTCTTTTAGGAATAGGCATGGTACTTAAATTTAAAAATGAATAATATAGTTAATTAGTGATTTTGGAAATTTGAACTCGGCTAATTTTACAATATTAAATTTGCTAATTTACAATTAATAAATGATTATATTTATTTAACTAGGGTTATAGTGCGCACAAATTGAACATTGCAACGCAGCGTTTCAAAACGCATATATAAAAACGTAAACGCAACCTTGTTTAAATTGATGCGTTAAGTTTAATTTTAATATGATAAATTTAAAACAAAAAAAATTACTTGCATTATATTTCCTTAAAAAAAATAAAGAAAGGAAAAGGAGCAAGACATCTCAAATATATGTTAAAAGAAATCTTTTTTCTGAATATATTAATAATAAAGGCGATTTAACACATTCTCATTTTATAATTATACAAGATGATTTAAAATAAATTTAATTCATTATTAATTATTTATATAATAGGTATTTATGGTGTATAATTTGCACAACTTGCTTATAGCTCAAGGATTTCAAAATCCTGTATAGTTTATATTGTGAAATCAGTGTGCACAGCAATTTGGAATGCTGCTGTACATATTCACATGCATAGGTAGGCCTAATAAAAATGATTAGGAAAGAGTAAATTATAATAAATCAATATTAATATTTACTTATCTTTATTTTTCCCAGGAATTCCTGCTTCCAGGATTCCCAAATTGTTTTGGGGCTATAGATGGAAAACATATATATATCAAGAGCCCTCTTGTGGCTCACAATTTTTTAACTGCAAGCATAGATTTTCAATTAACCTGTTAGCCCTAACAGACATTAACAGGAAATTTATTTATATAGATGTGGGAGCATATGGAAAGCAGAGTGATGGTAGAGTATAGAAATAGCTCTTTATATAGAGGTTACATTGTATTAATTTTATTATATCTTAAAAATATATTAATAGTTGGTGAACCATACACTTGATCTGCCTGCTTTATGTAATCATCCAAATTAGATACAACAATGATAAACCTCACTACAAGACCTTTCTTACCTAGCAGAGAAAATAATTCTACTTCAATTGAATCAAAAATTCTTAGAGACAAATTTATAAATTTCATAAATTATTAAATATTTATTATTGTATAAAATTTATTTTTGAAAATATTTTATTTAATTATGTTTACATATTTAATTTTTATAGACATTATGTTATTAAATGATATAAATAAATTGAATATTAAGAAAAATTTATTTGATATATTCCTTAATTTCTTGCATGTTAATTTGGACAAGATTCTAGATGTAGCCCATTGAGCTATTTTAAAGCTTGGGGAATGAACCTCAAACTTAAAATAATATTAATTGTATTCTCTTTGATACAATTAAAATTTTCATAGAATTTAAGAATAATTTAATTATTTAAAGTGTAAATATCTAAATGAGATTTATCTGTTGCTTCTATAAATAGTTTTTCAATATCAACCATAGTAATTAAATGATACTAAATTAATTGAATATTAAGTAAAATTTATTTGATATATCCCTTAATTTCTATTGCATGTTAATTTGGACACTATTCTAGATGTAGCCCATTGAGCTATTTTAAAGATTGGGGAATGAATCTCAAATTTAAAATTATATTAATTGTATTCTCTTTGATACAATTAAAATTTTCATAGAATTTAAAAATAAAATTATTTTATAGTGTAAAAACTATATCTAAATTTTATCTGTTGCTTCTATAAATAGTTTTTCAATATCAACCATAATTGAAAGTAAAATTTATTTGATATATCCCTTAATTTCTATTGCATGTTAATTTGGACACTATTCAAGATGTAGCCCATTGAGCTATTTTAAAGCTTGGGGAATGAACCTCAAACTTAAAATAATATTAATTCTTTTCTTTTACGATACAATTGAAATTTTCATAGAATTTAAGACATATAATTTAATTATTTTATGGTGTGAAAACTATACCTAAATAAGATCTATCTGTTGCTTCTATAAATAGATTCTCAATAACCATAGTAATTAAATGATATAACTAAATTAATTGAATATTAAGAAAAATTATATTGATATATCTCTTAATTTCTATTAAATGTTAATTTGAACACTAATATATTTTGAATGTCAAGAAAAATTAAATTGAAATATGAAAATAGAGACAAATATATAAAAATTTTATTAAAAGAATCTAATGTCAATATAAAAATTAATATAAAATATATAATATATTTTTATAATAAATAAATAATTTATATAATGCTATTAAATATGTCAATGCAGATTCATTTGTGTGTTGGTAAGGTACCATTTGTCTTCAGATAGTGTATAAATTTTAAAACCTCAGTTTTAAACAGCACTTGGTTGTCTAGACTCTACAAGGCTATTCATAAAAAGTCTAAATAAAATATAAAAATTAGCTTTACTGCATCCCAGATGGCTTTTCTTCCAAAATTTATTAACCTATTATCATTCAGTACTTTAGGTTTTTGTTGTTGTTGAGAGTTCCACATGAAAATTAACATTTCAAGTATTTTAAAATTAACTTTTTGAGAATAAAGAAACAAAATACTTATAATTTTTATGAATAGTAAAATATTTTGTGGGATTTATTCAAATATAGATGGTAAATAAAATCAATATAAATTTTGGATCAGTATTGTATAGGCTTTGTAGTAATATCAGAACAAAATTTGAGGGTTGGCACAGCCCTACTCCTGATTTTCCAAGTAGTTATTATAAACTTACCAATAAAATAAATAATAAGTAGGATTTCCTATTTTCTCCTTATTCAGCTTATCCTTGAAGTTTGTCAATTCCAATGCTAATCTAATTATATTATTATATTTAACATTCTTATATATTTATGCCTGGAAACAATAACTGAATAATAATTTAAATAATAAAGTCAATTAAGCTCCAACTGTTAATGCTAAATTAATATATAGTGAGTGATATTGATTTAACACAAAATTTGGGGTATGACTAAATACTGTCTTGCTAAAAAGGAATTAATCATAATCAATCATAATTTGATGATATAATATCTTTTAAAAAAATTTTTCAAAAACATTTTTTTTATTTTACATAAATCAATTTTTACTTAATTAAAAAATTGATATTAAATATCAAATAATTTAAAATTCTATTTTTACTTAATATTATTGGAAAAAAATATATTTACTAGCTTATTACAACTTAAATTTTATTTTTCAATTACAAAATTTAACAAATTTACATCCATAAGAGGGCGTTAAATACATAAATATGAAAATATATTCTTAGGAAACCAGAATAAATATTGGATAGCGTATTTTTTGTATTTGGGTGTAAATACATGTGAAAAACCTAAAAAAAATTTAAAAAATAGAGGTTTCTTTGAGATTTAATTAATGAGTAGGTTTAGAATAGAAAAATAGTAGAAAGTTTGTAAAGAACATATTGCTGGCGTTATTGATCAAAATCTCTTCATTTTTGGTTTATACGTGAATATTTAGGTGTTAAAAATATTTTGAAAATATTATGATTTGACCGAATGCCGAGCTTAAAACCGACCACTTACTAAATATTCGATCTACCAAATTTGGTAGTAATATTATTTGGAAAATGTTCATTTTTGGTTTAGATATCTATATATACGTGCAAATTATTTTCCCAAAAAATATTTTAAAAATATCGTGATTTGACAGAAACCCGATTTGAAACCGGCCCAATCTAAATACTGTCTTGCTGGCGTTATACATGGAAAATTCTTTATTTTTGGTTTATATGTGAACAATAACGTGGTAAGCATATCCTATTTAATTTTTTAAAATATTAAGATTTGACCGAATGGCGAGCTCAAAACCGAGCACTTACTAAATATTCGATCTACCAAATTTGGTAGTAATATTATTTGGAAAATGTTCATTTTTGGTTAATTTATCTATAAATACGTGCAAATCATTGTCCCAAAAAATATTTTAAAAATATCGTGATTTGACCGATAACCGATTTGAAACCGAAATACTGCCTTGCTGGCGTTATACATGGAAAATTCTTCATTTTTGGTTTATACGTGAACAATAACGTGTTAAGCATTATCCTAATTAATTTTTTGAAAATATAATGATTTAACCGAATGGCGAGCTCAAAACCGACCATTTACTAAATATTCGATCTATCAAATTTGGTGGTAATATTATTTGGTAAATGTTCATTTTTGGTTTAAATAATATACGTGTAAATCATTATCCCAAAAAAATATTTTAAAAATATCGTGATTTGACCGATAACCGATTTGAAACCGAAATACTGACTTGCTGGCGTTATACATGGAAAATTCTTCATTTTTGGTTTATACGTGAACAATAACGTGTTAAGCATTATCCTAATTAATTTTTTGAAAATATTATGATTTAACCGAATGGTGAGCTCAAAACCGACCACTTACTAAATATTCGATCTATCAAATTTGGTAGTAATATTATTTGGAAAATGTTCATTTTTGGTTAATTTATCTGTAAATACGTGCAAATCATTATCCCAAAAAATATTTAAAAAATATCGTGATTTGACCGATAACCGATTTGAAACCGAAATACTGCGTTGCTGGCGCTCTCCATGGAAAATTATTCATTTTTGGTTTAATAGTGAACAATAAGGTGTTAAGCATTATCCTAAATAAAATTTTGAAAATATTAAGATTTGACCGAATGGCGAGCTCAAAACCGAATTTGATTTTATAGGTGTAAATTCATGCGATTCTTTAATAGATTTATTATCATAATTATCATTAATTGGAGAAAATTTTATATTATTTAAATTTAATTTTAAAGGTATAAATTTAAGCGATTCGTTAATAGATATTATATCATAATTATCATTAATTGGGGAAAATTTTATATAATTTAAATTTATAGGAGTAAATTCATGCGATTCGTTAATAGATTTATTATCATAATTACCGCTGATATCATTAATTGGGGAAGAGTTTATATAATGTAAATTTGATTTTATAGGTATAAATTTAGGCGATTCGTTAAAATTTGATTTTATAGTTATAAATTTAGGCGATTCATTAATAGATTTTATCATAATTACCGCTGATATCATTAATTGGGGAAGAGTTTATATAATTTAAATTCGATTTTTTAACATTATCCGTAATAGTTATATAATCATGGAATTCATTAATAGATATAGTATCAAATGAACTATCAATATTATATTTTATCATGTGGGTTTAAATTAAGCTTTTGTAAATAAATAAAATGATTTATAGAAATATTTAAAATATCATCGGGTATACTACAAGATGTCCACATTATGTTAATTTTTATATCAGAACATCTGCTAACATCCCGACCATATATATCAAGGGTATAAGGACTTGGGTTTAATAAATTAAATGATAAAGAGGGACAAAAAGATTTAATAGGCGTATTTAAAGCACCACTTAAAACAAAAATAATAATCATGCCCGACCAATCCCCTATTTTAAGTATGTTATTTAAAGTAATTATAAGAATAAAATAAAATACGTTCTCTCATGGAAACTGGTACAATATAATTAACATTTTGTAAATCATAAAAGTCTCTATTGAGTATGACCTCGATTGGGGCTATAATACGTAAATAAATCTGGTACGTTTCTTCACCGAAAATTGCTAATGACACAGCACGATATGGCAATTTCCATCACCAATCGTTTTCCTTGGTGAAAATCTTAATAATATAGTTTGTTTTTAAAAAAATATTCATTATTTTTTAAACAATTAAAAATGATTCAAATAAAAGTTTAATATAATTCATATTATCTAATCAATATTCATATAAAAGCAGATTTTCCTTTTAAACGGCCTGGCCTAATTTTTTAAAAAAAATACCAACCCGGGTAGAATTTTTATTTAACAAAATTTTTTGGTACGGCCATTGTCTTTTTTATTTAAAAAATTAAAATATGGCCTGCTACATATACCCGGGGGGGGGGGCAAAAAGTCTCTGATTGTTTTTGTAACATATATATATTTATATTTACTTCAATAATATTGTTGGTTGAATTCTCTCTAATATATGCTTAGTAATTACATCAACATACCCGACTAGTCC